CTTTAACGTCTCTGTGTAGTAGTTTGGAGTCTCTTTGTGGTCACTTTGCATCTCTTTGTGGTAGTTTGGAGTCTCTTTGTGGTTGTGTCTTTTTCATCGTCTTTTTGTGGTCACTTTGCATCTCTTTGTGGTAGTTTGGAGTCTCTTTGTGGTTGTGTCTTTTTGATCGTCTCTTTGTGGTCATTTGCGTCTCTCTGTGGTCACTTTAACGTCTCTGTGTAGTAGTTTGGAGTCTCTTTCTGGTCATGCTGCGTCTCTTTGTGGTAGTCTGGAGTCTCATTGTGGTTGTGTCCTTTTGATCGTCTCTTTGTGGTCACTTTGCATCTCTTTGTGGTCACTTTAACGTCTCTGTGTAGTAGTTTGGAGTCTCTTTGTGGTTGTGTCTTTTTGATCGTCTCTTTGTGGTCACTTTGCATCTCTTTGTGGTCACTTTAACGTCTCTGTGTAGTAGTTTGGAGTCTCTTTCTGGTCATGCTGCGTCTCTTTGTGGTAGTCTGGAGTCTCATTGTGGTTGTGTCTTTTTCATCGTCTCTTTGTGGTCACTTTGCATCTCTTTGTGGTAGTTTGGAGTCTCTTTGTGGTCACTTTGCATCTCTTTGTGGTAGTTTGGAGTCTCTTTGTGGTCACTTTGCATCTCTTTGTGGTAGTTTGGAGTCTCTTTGTGGTTGTGTCCTTTTGATCGTCTCTTTCTGGTCATGCTGCGTCTCTTTGTGGTAGTTTGGAGTCTCTTTGTGGTTGTGTCCTTTTGATCGTCTCTTTCTGGTCATGCTGCGTCTCTTTGTGGTAGTTTGGAGTCTCTTTGTGGTTGTGTCCTTTTGATCGTCTCTTTGTGGTCACTTTGCATCTCTGTGGTCACTTTAACGTCTCTGTGTAGTAGTTTGGAGTCTCTTTCTGGTCATGCTGCGTCTCTTTGTGGTAGTTTGGAGTCTCTTTGTGGTTGTGTCTTTTTCATCGTCTTTTTGTGGTCACTTTGCATCTCTTTGTGGTAGTTTGGAGTCTCTTTGTGGTTGTGTCCTTTTGATCGTCTCTTTGTGGTTGTGTCTTTTTGATCGTCTCTTTGGGGTCACTTTGCATCTCTTTGTGGTAGTTTGGAGTCTCTTTGTGGTCACTTTGCATCTCTTTGTGGTAGTTTGGAGTCTCTTTGTGGTTGTGTCCTTTTGATCGTCTCTTTGTGGTTGTGTCTTTTTGATCATCTCTTTGTGGTCACTTTGCATCTCTTTGTGGTAGTTTGGAGTCTCTTTGTGGTCACTTTGCATCTCTTTGTGGTAGTTTGGAGTCTCTTTGTGGTTGTGTCCTTTTGATCGTCTCTTTGTGGTTGTGTCTTTTTGATCGTCTCTTTGTGGTCACTTTGCATCTCTTTGTGGTCACTTTAACGTCTCTGTGTAGTAGTTTGGAGTCTCCTTCTGGTCATGCTGCGTCTCTTTGTGGTAGTCTGGAGTCTCATTGTGGTTGTGTCCTTTTGATCGTCTCTTTGTGGTTGTGTCTTTTTGATCGTCTCTTTGTGGTCACTTTGCATCTCTTTGTGGTCACTTTAACGTCTCTGTGTAGTAGTTTGGAGTCTCCTTCTGGTCATGCTGCGTCTCTTTGTGGTAGTTTGGAGTCTCTTTGTGGTTGTGTCTTTTTGATTGTCTCTTTGTGGTCATTTGCGTCTCTCTGTGGTCACTTTAACGTCTCTGTGTAGTAGTTTGGAGTCTCTTTCTGGTCATGCTGCGTCTCTTTGTGGTAGTCTGGAGTCTCTTTGTGGTTGTGTCTTTTTCATCGTCTTTTTGTGGTCACTTTGCATCTCTTTGTGGTAGTTTGGAGTCTCTTTGTGGTTGTGTCCTTTTGATCGTCTCTTTGTGGTTGTGTCTTTTTGATCGTCTCTTTGTGGTCACTTTGCATCTCTTTGTGGTAGTTTGGAGTCTCTTTGTGGTTGTGTCCTTTTGATCGTCTCTTTGTGGTTGTGTCTTCTTGATCGTCTCTTTGTGGTCACTTTGCATCTCTTTGTGGTAGTTTGGAGTCTCTTTGTGGTAGTTTGGAGTCTCTTTGTGGTTGTGTCTTTTTCATCGTCTTTTTATGGTCACTTTGCATCTCTTTGTGGTAGTTTGGAGTCTCTTTGTGGTTGTGTCCTTTGATCGTCTCTTTGTGGTTGTGTCTTTTTGATCGTCTCTTTGTGGTCACTTTGCATCTCTTTGTGGTAGTTTGGAGTCTCTTTGTGGTTGTGTCCTTTTGATCGTCTCTTTGTGGTTGTGTCTTTTTGATCGTCTCTTTGTGGTAGTTTGGAGTCTCTTTGTGGTTGTGTCTTTTTCATCGTCTTTTTGTGGTCACTTTGCATCTCTTTGTGGTAGTTTGGAGTCTCTTTCTGGTCATGCTGCGTCTCTTTGTGGTAGTTTGGAGTCTCTTTGTGGTTGTGTCTTTTTCATCGTCTTTTTGTGGTCACTTTGCATCTCTTTGTGGTAGTTTGGAGTCTCTTTGTGGTTGTGTCCTTTTGATCGTCTCTTTGTGGTTGTGTCTTTTGATCGTCTCTTTGTGGTCACTTTGCATCTCTTTGTGGTAGTTTGGAGTCTCTTTGTGGTCACTTTGCATCTCTTTGTGGTCACTTTGCATCTCTTTGTGGTAGTTTGGAGTCTCTTTGTGGTCACTTTGCATCTCTTTGTGGTAGTTTGGAGTCTCTTTGTGGTTGTGTCCTTTTGATCGTCTCTTTGTGGTTGTGTCTTTTTGATCGTCTCTTTGTGGTCACTTTGCATCTCTTTGTGGTCACTTTAACGTCTCTGTGTAGTAGTTTGGAGTCTCCTTCTGGTCATGCTGCGTCTCTTTGTGGTAGTCTGGAGTCTCATTGTGGTTGTGTCCTTTTGATCGTCTCTTTGTGGTTGTGTCTTTTTGATCGTCTCTTTGTGGTCACTTTGCATCTCTTTGTGGTAGTTTGGAGTCTCTTTGTGGTTGTGTCCTTTTGATCGTCTCTTTGTGGTTGTGTCTTTTTGATCGTCTCTTTGTGGTAGTTTGGAGTCTCTTTGTGGTTGTGTCTTTTTCATCGTCTTTTTGTGGTCACTTTGCATCTCTTTGTGGTAGTTTGGAGTCTCTTTCTGGTCATGCTGCGTCTCTTTGTGGTAGTTTGGAGTCTCTTTGTGGTTGTGTCTTTTTCATCGTCTTTTTGTGGTCACTTTGCATCTCTTTGTGGTAGTTTGGAGTCTCTTTGTGGTTGTGTCCTTTTGATCGTCTCTTTGTGGTTGTGTCCTTTTGATCGTCTCTTTCTGGTCATGCTGCGTCTCTTTGTGGTAGTTTGGAGTCTCTTTGTGGTTGTGTCCGTTTGATCGTCTCTTTGTGGTCACTTTGCGTCTCTTTGTGGTAGTTTGGAGTCTCTTTGTGGTTGTGTCCTTTTGATCGTCTCTTTGTGGTCACTTTGCATCTCTTTGTGGTCACTTTGCGTCTCTTTGTGGTAGTTTGGAGTCTCATTGTGGTTGTGTCCTTTTGATCGTCTCTTTGTGGTTGTGTCTTTTTGATCGTCTCTTTGTGGTCATTTGCGTCTCTCTGTGGTCACTTTAACGTCTCTGTGTAGTAGTTTGGAGTCTCTTTCTGGTCATGCTGCGTCTCTTTGTGGTAGTCTGGAGTCTCTTTGTGGTTGTGTCTTTTTGATCGTCTCTTTGTGGTCATTTGCGTCTCTCTGTGGTCACTTTAACGTCTCTGTGTAGTAGTTTGGAGTCTCTTTCTGGTCATGCTGCGTCTCTTTGTGGTAGTCTGGAGTCTCTTTGTGGTTGTGTCTTTTTGATCGTCTCTTTGTGGTCACTTTGCATCTCTTTGTGGTAGTTTGGAGTCTCTTTGTGGTTGTGTCTTTTTCATCGTCTTTTTGTGGTCACTTTGCATCTCTTTGTGGTAGTTTGGAGTCTCTTTGTGGTTGTGTCCTTTTGATCGTCTCTTTGTGGTTGTGTCTTTTTGATCGTCTCTTTGTGGTCACTTTGCATCTCTTTGTGGTAGTTTGGAGTCTCTTTGTGGTTGTGTCCTTTTGATCGTCTCTTTGTGGTTGTGTCTTTTGATCGTCTCTTTGTGGTAGTTTGGAGTCTCTTTGTGGTTGTGTCTTTTTGATCGTCTCTTTGTGGTAGTTTGGAGTCTCTTTGTGGTTGTGTCTTTTTCATCGTCTTTTTGTGGTCACTTTGCATCTCTTTGTGGTAGTTTGGAGTCTCTTTGTGGTTGTGTCCTTTTGATCGTCTCTTTGTGGTTGTGTCTTTTTGATCGTCTCTTTGTGGTCACTTTGCATCTCTTTGTGGTAGTTTGGAGTCTCTTTGTGGTTGTGTCCTTTTGATCGTCTCTTTGTGGTTGTGTCTTTTTGATCGTCTCTTTGTGGTCACTTTGCATCTCTTTGTGGTCACTTTAACGTCTCTGTGTAGTAGTTTGGAGTCTCTTTCTGGTCATGCTGCGTCTCTTTGTGGTAGTTTGGAGTCTCTTTGTGGTTGTGTCCTTTTCATCGTCTTTTGTGGTCACTTTGCAGCTCTTTGTGGTAGTTTGGAGTCTCTTTGTGGTTGTGTCTTTTTCATCGTCTTTTTGTGGTCACTTTGCATCTCTTTGTGGTAGTTTGGAGTCTTTTTGTGGTCACTTTGCATCTCTTTGTGGTAGTTTGGAGTCTCTTTGTGGTTGTGTCCTTTTGATCGTCTCTTTCTGGTCATGCTGCGTCTCTTTGTGGTAGTTTGGAGTCTCTTTGTGGTTGTGTCCTTTTGATCGTCTCTTTGTGGTTGTGTCTTTTTGATCGTCTCTTTGTGGTCACTTTGCATCTCTTTGTGGTCACTTTAACGTCTCTGTGTAGTAGTTTGGAGTCTCTTTCTGGTCATGCTGCGTCTCTTTCTGGTAGTCTGGAGTCTCATTGTGGTTGTGTCCTTTTGATCGTCTCTTTGTGGTTGTGTCTTTTTGATCGTCTCTTTGTGGTCACTTTGCATCTCTTTGTGGTTGTGTCCTTTTGATCGTCTCTTTGTGGTTGTGTCCTTTTGATCGTCTCTTTGTGGTCACTTTGCATCTCTTTGTGGTAGTTTGGAGTCTCTTTGTGGTTGTGTCCTTTTGATCGTCTCTTTGTGGTCATTTTGCGTCCCCTTTCGGTATTTTGGTAGTTTAGTTGTGCGACTACCACTACAGTCGCTTTGGATATAAAGCGTCTGCCAAATGAGTAAATGTAAGTTTGGATCTCTTTGTGGTTGTGTCTTCATGGTCGTCAGAGGGACACATTAGGGGAGAGACAATACACTTAATTTACGAGACGTGATCATGCACAATATTGGGCTCATGTTACAGAAGATATTGTAACAGTATTTTGAAGAAATATTCAATGGTGAAATTTATGAGTGGGGGTCTGGGGGTCATTCCCCAGAAGATTTTGAGCATTAAACACTTAATTTCCTGCATCCTGGAGACATTTTCTGCACCAATTTATGCTGAAAATGTCTTTATTTTTAGAAAGGGAAGCACACAATTCAGGTGGTAGGTGACAATTCAACATCTAAAAATGTAATGGACTCAGTAGGCCTAATTAGTAGCTTGTTTTTCTTAGCTTAAGTTTTTGGACAATGCACATTTGTTTCTTCAATATTTACATTGCATCGCATGTTTTCTTATTGTGAAAATAAACCTTTTTCAAAGCATTCTCATTTGTTATCATTTGTTGTTGCTTTCAAAAAGTGATGGGGATAAAATCAGCCTTTTCAAAAAGTGATGGGGACTTGTCCTCAGTGTCCCCAGGGTAAATGACACCTATTGTTACGGCATTGCACAACTCTCCAACAAGTCCCTGTTGCAAAAGAGCCACTGACTCAGCGACATGAGAGCCATCCCTGTCCTGGATCTGAATGGATGCTGAGTTATTCCAACAGCTGTTCATCGGTCCAGCAGCTCGAGACTGCTGTGTTCTCAGGCGACGACTGATGGTTTTTTCAGTAAGATAGGTGGAGCTGTCTAGCTGTCCATCAGAGGAACCGGGGATCTTGATTGGCTCTTCGGGAGCGGAAGCGGATCTCAGAGAGTTTGGAGTTGATGCCGGAGCCGATGACTCCTTTCTTGGCGAGAGGAAAGCGAGCCAAGATGGCGTCTGAGAGACAGAGAGGTCTGTTAGAGAGGGTTAGAGACAGACAGAGTAAAGGAACATTGCAGCGAACGGTTTGGACCTACTGAAGATGGCGTTGATCTTGTGCGGGTCGAGGGCGCTGCGTTGTGCGTGGAAGGCTGGCCGGCGGCTCCGTCCTCCTCGCAGGTTACTGTTCATCAGCGTGTTCATATCAAACACACCTACCAGCAGCGTTCGTGCCATCGCCGTAGGAGACGGTGCCTGATTGGCTGCCTGCCATGATCGGACATCACAGAGAACACCAGAGCCCGGATACACCTCCACCTGGTTTACCTAAACAGACAGAACAGGTAAATGACACACAGTCCAGCTGTTAAAGCTCCGAGTATTTAAAACCGATCAGATCCAGAGGTCCACCTGTCCATTAAGGTGTCCGGCGGTACATTGGCTCTCCGAGCAGCTCCTCCTCAGCTCCTCCATGTCGGTCTGGCTGCAGAGTGGCGCCTCCTCCCCCATGTGGCTCCCCAGACCCAGGTCTGCTTCTTCAGGCACCTCCTCGTCCTCGGAGCCCAGCGGGCCCCAGGACTCTGACATGTCCCTGCTCAGTTCCTCCTGGAGCTGCTGGACGTAGACCTGGGGGCTGAGGTCTTCGTCCTTATGGGCGCAGTCGCTGTGATAAAGGTAAGGAGCATAGCTGTTGCTCCTAGCCATTGCCGTGGAGATGGAGGGGTCACTGTTGGCCTGGCCCAACGTCTGCCACATGGTGGACAGGAGCCCAGGGATTTCTGGGAAATGTAGTCAAAATAATGTTTCAAAATCAAACCAGATCAGATTAAAATAGTTTTAATTGCACTGGGTGATCAAATTGGATCAGATTAGATCACACCAGATCAGTTTACACCAGATTAGATCACATCAAATCAGTTTACACCAGATTAGATTACACCAGATCAGTTTACACCAGATTAGATCACATCAAATCAGTTTACACCAGATTAGATTACACCAGATCAGTTTACACCAGATCAGTTTACACCTGATTAGATCACATCAAATCAGTTTACACCTGATTAGTTTACACCAGATCAGTTTACACCTGATTAGATCACATCAAATCAGTTTACACCTGATTAGTTTACACCAGATCAGATTACACCTGATTAGATTACATCAAATCAGATTACACCTGATTAGATTACATCAAATCAGTTTACACCTGATTAGATTACACCAGATCAGTTTACACCAGATTAGATTACACCAGATTAGATTACACCAGATCAGTTTACACCAGATTAGATCACACCAGATCAGTTTACACCAGATTAGATTACACCAGATCAGATTACACCAGATTAGTTTACACCAGATCAGTTTACACCAGATTAGATCACACCAGATCAGATTACACCAGATTAGTTTACACCAGATCAGTTTACACCAGATTAGATCACACCAGATCAGTTTACACCAGATCAGTTTACACCAGATTAGATTACACCAGATTAGATTACACCAGATCAGTTTACACCAGATTAGATTACACCAGATCAGTTTACACCAGATTAGATTACACCAGATTAGATTACACCAGATTAGTTTACACCAGATCAGTTTACACCAGATCAGTTTACACCAGATCAGATTACACCAGATTAGTTTACACCAGATCAGTTTACACCAGATTAGTTTACACCAGATCAGTTTACACCAGATCAGATTACACCAGATCAGTTTACACTGGATCAGATGCGACAGAGAAGTTTAGTAACTCAGTGAACTCATTCTACTATTATTTCCTTAGTCCTGTGCTTTTGTGTTTTCCTGATCTGTGTACTTCTGTGTTTTATCATTATGGTCTGTGTCTTCGTCTTATATCTCCATGTTTTAGTGTAGTCTTGTCTCCTGTTTGGTCCCGTCTCTGTCCGTGCCCTGATTTTGCTGTTTTGTGTTTTACTTTGGTAGATCTGTCCTTGTGTGTTCCTGTGAACTTTACTTCCTGTTTTATTTTGGTAGTCTTCTATACCTGTGTCCTAGTCTAGCTTTGTTCCTGTGGTTCATTATCTGATGTATTTCAGCTGTGCTTCGCTCCCTGCTCGTTAACCAGTAGATATTGTCCTCAGTTGTCTTCAGTCTTTGTCACGTCCTTGCGTTGAGTGTTCTGTGCCTTCCCTGCGCTTTTGGATTATTTCATTGGTTTGTACTTTGTTCTTGGATTGTTCCCTTTGGATTATGTTTTGTTTGGAGTTACCCTTTGTTTGAACCTTTGCCGCCGAGCTCCCAGCGTTAGTTTTGTGTGTTAATAAATCTTTATTCAAACTGCAACTACCTGCATTTGGGTCCACACCTCAGTTCTCAGCTTCTGCACTCAGCTGCCCTTGACAAGAACCTGACTGATCTCTGACTGGTCAGCTGTGAACATTTAGACCAGTTGACGGTGATGTGGATCTGAACTCACCGTGGACTAGCATGTTCTTCAGTCTCTGGTTCTCCACCGACAGTTCTGCCTTTTCTCTCTCCAGCTCTTGAACCCGCGAACGAAGGAAGTGAAGCTCAGAGGCCTGTGACGGGTTCAGGACCGACTCACCGGACACACCTGACTCCACCTTCACCACCTGTGGAGCGGGGGGGTGTCTCATGATCAAACAGGCCACCATGATTGGCTGTAACTCCTCTTCACCTGTTGTCGTGGTGATCTAAGTGACATCATCTGAGCCTGTCTCCTTTGTGCTCGGTAATGTGACAACATTTGATTCTGTTGTGTTCAGTACGGCAGAAAATCTGCAGCTGTCAGATAAATGTAGGAGAAGAGTGTAGTACAGCGGAGGGAAAGTACTTTAAAGGTGTACTCGAGTAAACATAGTGATTTACTGGTAAGAGTACACAGTATGGAGACATCACATCCTGTCCTGCTCAGGCTGCTGAGACTCAGCGTGTGGGGGGCGCCACAGGCCAGACACACAGCTGCTGTCTTTAGTTCCTAATTATATTTGTTCTGCACATGTTGGTCATTCCTGTCCACTCTAAACTCCGATTATTCTAAATCAAGTCACGATCAGTAATAAAGGAACTGATCGCTGATCAGCAGCAGCTGTTTGACCAGTCAGTACATCTGATCATCGCTCAGCACCAGCAGCTGTGATGGATTATCAATAAGGAGGAGCACGTATTTATACACACACGAAGTACCCGCTGCTGGAACACGTGTATTTATACACACATGAAGTACCCGCTGCTGGAACACGTAAACAGCCTGAGTACACGTGTATTTATACACACATGAAGTACCCGCTGCTGGAACACGTGTATTTATACACACATGAAGTACCCGCTGCTGGAACACGTGTATTTATACACACATGAAGTACCCGTGTATTTATACACACATGAAGTACCCGTGTATTTATACACACATGAAGTACCCGCTGCTGGAACACGTGTATTTATACACACATGAAGTACCCGCTGCTGGAACACGTGTATTTATACACACATGAAGTACCCGCTGCTGGAACACGTGTATTTATACACACATGAAGTACCCGCTCAGTCTCACCGTCAGCCCGGCGCCGCCGCTGTGTGTCCGCCGCAGGACGCTGCAGTCCGGACTCTCCGCCATCATCACACCGGAGACACGAACGGGACTTTAATGGCGGATGGACCCGGTACCGTCCCGGTTCTTTGGCCGCGCGCTGGCTCCAAAAAACACACAAAGAAAAACAAGTTTATTAAAATTCATAAGTGTATCCACTTCCGGTGCCTCTCCGTGACGTCGGTCGTGCGTGGCCACGCTGTAGTCTTACTGGAGGACGTCTGCAACGTTTGTGTGCGTGCAGCGGGACTGCAGTACCCAGAGTGCACCGCGGCCGGCAGACTGTAAACAAGGACGGAGGCTGAAGGACGACGCGACTAATGATCGGTGAGTCCTGCTCGCTTTTACCGGACTCTGCCGGACTCTGCCGGACTCTGCAGTGGTTCTACCGAATGTTCTGAGTGTGTTCAGCTGTGTGAGAAAGATTACAGTACACAAGTACACAAGTACACAAGTACACAAGTACTCCCAGCTCCGTGCAGTTACAGTCTCAGCACTGCAAGTTCACAAGTATTCTCCCCTGTCCCCGGTCTCTCTCTGTCCCCCCTCCTCACCTGTCCCCGGTCTCTCTCTGTCCCCCCTCCTCACCTGTCCCCGGTCTTTCTCTGTCCCCCCTCCTCCCTTGTCCCTGGTCTCTCTCTGTCCCCCCTCCTCACCTGTCCCCGGTCTTTCTCTGTCCCCCCTCCTCCCCTGTCCCTGGTCTCTCTCTGTCCCCCCTCCCAGTGTTTGTGAGGTATAACCTGGGTCCAGGTGTGGCTGTGGAGCTGCAGGAGGAGTCCAGCGTGGCCGAGCTTAAGGAGGTGGTGGGGAGTCAGCAGGGAGTCCGACCAGAGCGCCTCAGGGTTCTATTCGCTGGGAGGGAGCTGAGGAGCAGCGCCACGCTGCAGGTGAGGTCAGGAGGAGGAGAACAGGTGAGGTCAGGAGGAGGAGAACAGGTGAGGTCAGGAGGAGGAGAACAGGTGAGGAGGAGAACAGGTGAGGTCAGGAGAACAGGTGAGGTCAGGAGAACAGGTGAGGTCAGGAGAACAGGTGAGGTCAGGAGAAGAGGTGAGGTCAGGAGGAGGAGAAGAGGTGAGGTCAGGAGGAGGAGAAGAGGTGAGGTCAGGAGGAGGTCAGGAGGAGGTCAGGAGGAGGAGAACAGGTGAGGTCAGGAGGAGGAGAACAGGTGAGGTCAGGAGAACAGGTGAGGTCAGGAGGAGGAGAACAGGTGAGGTCAGGAGGAGGTCAGGAGGAGGAGAACAGGTGAGGTCAGGAGAACAGGTGAGGTCAGGAGGAGGAGAACAGGTGAGGTCAGGAGGAGGTCAGGAGGAGGAGAACAGGTGAGGTCAGGAGGAGGTCAGGAGGAGGAGAACAGGTGAGGTCAGGAGGAGGAGAACAGGTGAGGTCAGGAGAACAGGTGAGGTCAGGAGGAGGAGAACAGGTGAGGTCAGGAGAACAGGTGAGGTCAGGAGGAGGAGAACAGGTGAGGTCAGGAGAACAGGTGAGGTCAGGAGAACAGGTGAGGTCAGGAGGAGGAGAACAGGTGAGGTCAGGAGGAGGTCAGGAGGAGGAGAACAGGTGAGGTCAGGAGAACAGGTGAGGTCAGGAGGAGGAGAACAGGTGAGGTCAGGAGAACAGGTGAGGTCAGGAGGAGGAGAACAGGTGAGGTCAGGAGAACAGGTGAGGTCAGGAGGAGGAGAACAGGTGAGGTCAGGAGGAGGAGAACAGGTGATGTCAGGAGGAGGAGAACAGGTGAGGTCAGGAGGAGGTCAGGAGGAGGAGAACAGGTGATGCTGTTGGTGTGCCTATAATTCCACTGCTCCATCACCACCCTGTAAAGTCAAAGTCTCCTCCTCCCCTACCCTCCCCTCCCCTCCTCTCCTCCTCCTCCCCCTGCTCCCCCCCTCCTCTCCTCCTCTCCAACCCTCCTCTCTCAGGGTTGTGACCTCCCAGAGCAGAGTACTGTCCATGTGGTCCTCCCCCCATCAGGTTCCTCCTCCTCGCGGCTGCTCCTCCTGCAGGAGCGCCTGGCTCGTAGCAGGGAGGAGGAGCAGGACGCTCTGACGCGGCTGGACCTCAGCTCCTCACGCCTCCCCTCCACCTCCTCTGGCCTGGCGGTGATCCTGGAGGGGAGAGATGGCGGAGCAGAGGAGGCCAGAGAGGAGGCGCAGGCTCCAGGTGAGAACTGTTGGCGGGTACTCCTGCAGTACTTTACAGTACGTCAGCTAGAAGTACTCTGACTGTGTGTACCTGTGTGTACAGGTGTGCGTACCCGCAGTACTTTCTTTGTGTACTGTAAGAGCTGCCGGTCGGTCCAGCCCGGAAAACTCAGAGTCCGCTGCCGAAGCTGCCGCCAGACCACGCTGACGCTCAGCAGGGTGAGTACTAATACTGCTGGAACGCAGTACTAATACTGGTTATAACGCAGTACTAATACTGGTTATAACGCAGTACTAATACTGGTTATAACGCAGTACTAATACTGGTTATAACGCAGTACTAATACTGGTTATAACGCAGTACTAATACTGTTCAGAACGCAGTACTAATACTGGTTAGAACGCAGTACTAATACTGGTTAGAACGCAGTACTAATACTGCTGGAACGCAGTACTAATACTGGTTATAACGCAGTACTAATACTGGTTATAACGCAGTACTAATACTGGTTATAACGCAGTACTAATACTGGTTATAACGCAGTACTAATACTGGTTATAACGCAGTACTAATACTGGTTAGAACGCAGTACTAATACTGGTTAGAACGCAGTACTAATACTGGTTAGAACGCAGTACTAATATTGGTTAGAACGCAGTACTAATACTGTTCGTAACGCAGTACTAATACTGTTCGTAACGCAGTACTAATACTGTTCGTAACGCAGTACTAGTACTGTTCGTAACGCAGTACTAGTACTGTTCGTAACGCAGTACTAGTACTGTTCGTAGCGCAGTACTAGTACTGTTCGTAGCGCAGTACTAGTACTGTTTGTAGCGCAGAACTAATACTGTTTGTAACGCAGTATTTGTTAGTGTTGTAGTCGCCCAGATCGAGGCCAGTTCCCCGCAGTAACACGTGGACTCACGGTGCGTCTCAGACTGATCCAGTAAACGCTCTACAGACAAACTGTGAGCGGTCATGTGCTCCACACTTCCTGTCCCCGTGCTGAAGGTGGATCCTCTCTCTCTCTCTGGGTCAGGGTCCTTCCTGCTGGGATGATGTTCTCCTCCGAGGTCGGATCCACGGCGTGTGTCAATCAGACGGGTGTCCTGGCAATGAAGCGGTAAGGGGCGGGGCTTCTGTCTTCTTTTTGTGTGCATGAGCTATTTAACTGATGTCGGTCCATCCAGTGGCATTCTGGGAAATATAGTTCAGAATCAGCTTTATTGCCAGGTATGTGCACACACAAGGAATCTGACTCTGGGCATTGCTCACGATGTGCTTATTTATACAATAAGACAATAATAATAGTACAGAGAACACAAATATACACACTGTGAACAAAACAGACAGAGACAATAGTGCAGGAGTATTATGTATTATGTTAAGTATTATGTGCAGGAGGTAGGTTTATTGGTAAACAGTATAAACAATATGAGAGTATGAACAGCACTGAAATACAGAATAATGAATAAATAATAAGTGGAAACCAGTAAACAGGTGCTGATTAGAGACAGAGTTACTGGGTTATTGCACAGGAATTGTTCCTGACGCTGTGAGTCAGAAATCAGCTGTGCATCAGAGTGATGGCTTGTGGGAAGAAACTGTTCCTGAGTCTGTTGGTTTTGGCGTACAGTGCTCTGTAGCGCCTACCAGAGGGGAGGAGCTGGAACAGCTTGTGTCCGGGGTGAGATGGATCTGCAGTGATGTTTCCTGACTCTGGAAATGTTTAAGTCCTGAATGGAGGGCAGGTTGGCACCGATGATCTTTTCTGCAGTCCTGACTGTCCGGTGTAGTCTGCTCCTGTCCTTTTTGTTGGCAGATCCAAACCGGACAGTGATGGAGGTGCAGAGGACAGACTAGATGATGGCTGTGTAGAACTGGATCAGCAGCTCCTTGGGCAGGTTGAGCTTCCTGAGCTGATGCAGGAACTACGTCCTCTGCTGGGCCTTCTTGATGATGGTGTCAGTGTTGGGCTCCCACTTCAGTTCCTGGGATATAGTGGAACCCAGAAACCTGAAGGATTCCACAGCAGACACAGGGCTGTTGAGTATGGTGATCGGGGGCAGAGTGGGGGGGCTCCTCCTGAAGTCCACGGTCATCTCCACAGTTTTGTGCGTGTTAAGCTCCAGGTTGTTCTGACCGCACCAGAGAGACAGCTGATCAACCCCGTCTGTAGGCCGATTGGTCACCGTCCCGGATGAGGCCGACGACCGTTGTGTCGTCAGTGAACTTCAGGAGTTTGACAGATGGGTCTCCTGAGGTGCAGTCGTTGGTGTAGAGGGAGAAGAGCAGTGGGGAGAGCACACACCCCTGGGGGGAACCAGTGCTGATAGTCCGGGTGCTGGATGTGATGTTCCCCAGCCTCACCTGCTGACTCCTGTCAGTCAGGAAGTCTGTGATCCACTGACAGGTGGAGGCTGGCACAGTGAGCTGGGTGAGTTTGGTGCTGAGGATGTCCGGGATGATGGTGTTGAACGCCGAGCTGAAGTCCACGAACAGGATCCTTGCATACGTCCCTGGAGAGTCGAGGTGTTGCAGGATGTGATGCAGACCCAAGTTGACGGCATCATCCACTGACCTGTTAGCCCTGTAGGCAAACTGCAGGGGGTCCAGCAGGGGGCCTGTAATGTCCTTCAGGTGGGCCAACACCAGTCTTTCAAAGGACTTCATGACTACAGATGTCAGGACGACAGGCCTGTAGTCATTTAGTCCAGAGATGGAGGGTTTTTTTGGGGACTGGAGCGGAGCGGGGGAGAGGTGTGACTCTGGGCTTTTCAAACCTACAGTAGAAACCATTCAGCTCGTCTGCCAGTCGTTGAGTGCCAGCAGTGTTGGGAGATGGTCTCCTGTAGTTTGAGAGTGTCTGCAGGCCTCTCCACACTGACGCAGGATCGTTGGCTGTGAAGCTTTTTCAAGATTTTCAGAGTAGCTCCTCTTTGCAGCTTTGACCTCTTTAGTCATTGTGTTCCTGGCCTGGTTGTACAAGACTCTGTCCCCACTTCTGAAGGCCTCCTCTTTGGTCTGACGAAGCTGCCTGAGTTTCGCTGTGAACCAGGGTTTTTGGTTGTTGTATGTGCAGAAGGTTTTAGTCGGCACACACGTCCTCACAAAAACTGATGTAAGATGTCACAGTGTCAGTTAGTTCGTCAGGTCAGTGGCTGCAGCCTCAGAAACACTCTAGTCAAAGCAGCGCTCTCTCTGTCTCTGTCTCTCTCTGTCTCTGTCT